TATTATTTTATGACTTTTAAACACAGAAATCACTCGTGGTCACTCGTGGTCACTCGTGGTCACTCGTGGTCATTCGTGGTCACTCGTGGTCACTCGTGGTCATTCGTGGTCACTCGTGGTCACTCGTGTGTACTTTTAGACAAGATCCATAAAAACGGCTATATCCTTAGATACGTTTAAAAGACACATACGGCAAATGGATATAGCCGACTTAATTTCCAATAGTTGTACTAATTGCTATTTATGCAACAATTAATCGACACTAATTATAGATATTTGTTATAATATATTTATTCGGTTTATATAGTTAATAGTAGTTAATATAGGTAGGTGTCCCCAATTAGTTTCTTTGTAAACTAGAATTTATTTGACACAATAATAAAATTTTTGATTGATTGATTGATTGATTGATTGAGGAAATCATTTGCCCGCCTTAGTAAAGATAAATGTCATTAATACTTTCTTATTGGACGGATCTTTATATCGACGGATGATATTCTATAATTATCAATTATCACTCATAGATATAGGAGATCGCCACACTGCAATTCTTGATGCACATAAATCATAATTATGACGTCACATCTGCAGTAATCGTTTGCTACAACATCGCAACACCAGCAAAAGCTTGCAACTGAAGCTACAATCCTGGCAAAAATTATCGTGGACAGCGCGTGCGTCAAACAAAGTAGATATATTTCTACATAATTAATCCGCCAGAAAATTTCTCCCCCTCCTACCCCCAATCCAATGTTGGTAAATAAAACTTTTAAAATTTGAATGCGGGAAAAAACATTGAATAGGGGGCAGGGGGGCGACAAATATTAATTTCATGAAAGAACGTCTCAATGTTAATATTGGCGTTAGAAAAGTTAGGTGTCCACATAATTTTTGCCAGGATTGTAGCTTCTCATGCAACAGCCAACAGGAAGAAAAAATAAAGCATGGCAAGATTCTTTATAACTTTGGAAAGCGATTTACAAAAAACTATTAGACGAGGCTCTTACTGAAGCTATTTATAACCGGCTATTTTACTAAATTAAAATTTTTTTTGAACTTTTTATGTATACGCGTAATAAAATAATTATTAATATTCAATTCGGTTTTCGCATATTTCGAGAATTATCAAGGCCTCACTCTGTACATAGTTGAATAGAAATGTCTAATTTTCCATTAACTATGAGCTGTGTTTGAAAAATGTTTTACACAACCTACCTCCGATCCATTAATTATAAAACTATCCGCTTTTTTCTGACAATTAAGAAATCAGGAATCCCACTGTTTATCCTATTTCAGTTTTTAATTTCATAGTATTAAAATACCTAAAGGAAGTCCGTCTTTTAATTAATTTCTACTTACATTTTTTGTAAATTACGGATTTAGATAAGGGGCGGACCATTAGAAATCCCGGGAGGGGGGTGAAAATTCCCCCCAAAAAATTCGTGTAAAGAAAAATGCCTGGAAAAAATTCGCGCAGCCATTACGTCAGAGAAAAAAAATCGTGCAAGAAAACTGCAAAGTGCAAATACTCTTGAGGTTAAATACAGAGGTTAAATGCATAAAAAAAATCCTGCAGAGACACGAGACTGAAAAAAATATCGTGCCGCTAAAATTTTATACCCCCCCCCCTCCCGGGATTTCTAATGGTCCTAAATACAGGATGTACAAAAAAGTAACCCAAATTTTCATTAAATGAAATCTTGTTCAAAATGTCTCGAAAATCCAAGTACTATAATGCCCATTAGCACATTTTATGTTTGTAAAGCGACAAAGTCGGCAATAATTAGTAAACCTAGTTGATCAGTTGTCGGCTAACGTATAGAAAGTGATTATGCATATATCACCAGTTATATAGTTTCATCAATTGTTGTTGATATGTCTGATGTAAAATATGTAATTGGACGATAGATATGGAGAATGCCGGTATCACGAAACTAAGTATTTAATATTCTGTGCAATTCTGCTTAAATGGTAGATTCTACTTAAAATCTGGCAATTCTACTAAAAAATGTGCAAAAATCGGGCAAAATGATGAAAAGGAAGCGCAACGGGTCTTAATTAAAATCGTCGAAAAAGGAAGAAATTTGTAACATTGGGAAAATGTATTTGTCCCACCGAGCTCCCCCCCCCCACCCTCGCCCCCTCCCATTCGACAGGAATTATATGGGGGGGGGGATATTATATGACTGAACATTTTGTAGTTGTCGGGCAATTTGATTTTGTGTTTATAAAAATCTTTATTAGTCAGGAAAATAAACTCACAATAAGTGATTTGTAGTGAATAATTTAATTTGTTTGAGTTATACTGAGAAGCTTGATTTCTAAAGGTCTATATGACACCCTGTATAGGGTGTATCAATTATCAAGAAATGTAATCCAACTTTAGAGTGATCTTGTGCGGTCAGTGCAGAATGTATTCAGATTTTATTGTTTTATCCACGAAGTTAGCATGTTAAGCTTATATATTATTTGGCAGGACACATCAGTGATTAATTGGAAAATGTGATTTCGACTGGCAATTTTTAATCGGCTCGTTTGTACTTGGAATGATCGATACAAAAACTCTAATCTATATATCAAGGATTTCTAGAACAGTTCAAATTAGTTTTCATCCCTACCCTAACGCTGTTTTAATGCATGCAGAAAGGCGACTGTGGTCAATATATTGTTTTTCTAAAGATTATATATATTTTAATGATAATACTTATTGGTTTACTTATTGGTTTAAAACTTAATTAAATAATGATTATAATTTCGTAAATGAATGTTCATAATTAAATTCATTGCAATTACTGAAATAATGGTGTATATAAAAGAAGCTTGTTTTATTCGACAAGATTCAGATATCCAGAAGTTGTTGAAGACTAAAGCTCCTGGAAGTAAAGTGAGAAAATTCAGTCAAAGATGAAATTTTGCATGATTTATCTTTTCTTCATTGTTGCTGTGATGGTGATGCCATTGGTTACATTTGCCGGCATTAATCCATGGCTAGTAAGTGACCTACAGTTGAAAATTACAGAGTACAGAGAAGGTTATAAGATATCTCTAAATATATAACCTTAACCTCCAAGTCGTCAAGAGGTTGTGTAAATCGTAGTCCATCTTAATATGCATCCTGAGAATATGCTGATGTTATCATAGGTTTATTATACTGAATTTCATTTGTAGGATAACTTATCATAATTTTGTTATTCTCATGACTCTATCCTCTAGTACAAACTCCAAAACTCTCCTTCTCTAACCACTACCTGTACCTGCACCCGCACCCCTATGTTGTTGGCGTTCACATCGATCACCATGTCATGTGCGGGCGTCGGATGAAAATTGAGAATAACGAACTAACGAAATGAAGGATTTGTGAGACGTGTGCAACTGTGCATACATGCCGGAGCCATAGGATTTTTAGGATTTTATTAGGATTCGCACATTTATACATAAATACACAAAATACATAAAATATTACAGAAAACTAAATACCATAGATTACATTATAAACGATTATTATGAAAGTAACATTTGTGCACAGTGATCAAAGTAGTCTAGGCTTTCGAGTTGACCACTGCAGTAAGTTAGTTAAATTAGTTCACTAGGAGCGAGATAGATAATTTGAGATATCTATCAGTCTTCTGAGGTATCTATCAGTCTTCTTCACTAGGAGCGAGATAGATAATTTGAGGTATCCATCAGTCTTCTGGATTGTCTATGATGGGGCTAACTGAAATGGGTGTTGTGAAAATCATGAATAATTAACTATAGTTTGCATGCATGTACTTTATCCATTTCCCAATCGTGTCCATGAACATTACTTGCAGGCAGTCGTACGTCCCGGCACATAAATATTTATAAACATGCAGTTAGTAGAAACTTCCATGACTATATAAAGAACATCAGTATTATTTTAATATTTCTTTATTTTGCTTTATTAAGGGTAACACTGGGTGCAGGTTCCATCAGCGATGCGGCAGGGCAAAAGATCCGCCTTGTGGTTCCTGTCCTACACGGGGTTGGTTGAAATGTGCACGAATAGGTTGCTCAACACCGAATATGTGGTGTGTTAAAATGAACCAGGGACCACCAGAATGTGCAGCACCAATGGGTCATTATGGATGATCCACCATTCGATGCATCACAAATGCGAATCAGATCTAGAAATTAGCATAATTTGGCAAAAAAAGTATTATATATAAGACATAACTTATAACATGAACTCCATAGACATAGTATAGAAAACTGAAGGTATGCAGTAAAAATGTGCAAAATGTTTTAAAATAGTAACTTAAAGTTTCATTAATAAAACATTCAAATAAAAAAGTTTCTGTTTGCTTGCGCCAATTTTTTCTCTTCTGAATTATTGACTACAGGAATTTTTTCCAATCCTTCTTCTTTGTACGAATTTTTTGGGTAATTATCACCCCCTCTCTCCACATCCCCCCCGCCAGTCATTTTTGGAGAATTATTAGAATTTTGTAATAGATGCCCCTCCCGTTTGTACATGGCTGCCCGTTTGGGGGTGGGGGTGGGGTGCAAGTCATCCTTGTAGCTGCATGAGAGCTAAGCTGAAAGCAGCTCAACTTGACACGGAACACAGCCATACAGAACACAGCTACGGTGGAACTTTAGGGGCTAATCTCGAAGAAAACAGGTCGCTTGATTATCCTGCCATGGTGGGTGACCCAGTCGTTCTAAGAAAATTGTTGACCATTCTAATACACGAGGAAGTTTAATTCCCATTAAAATTGGCAAAAAAGTACTCGTTTCAGCTACGGTACACATTCAGGGCCGTAGTTAGACGCGAAGTCGCTAAAAAACAACCGTCCAATACCGGCAGCCCTTTCAAAAGTTTGTGATAAAGTAGTTCTAAACCAATTCACCGAATATCTCACAGAACGCAAATTACTATCAAATCATCAAAGTGGAAATCGTAAAAATCATTCAACTGAGACACTCAACGTCGCGTTCACAGACACGCTATTAGAAGCAATGGACAAAAAACAAATATCTATAGTAGTCTTTATTGATCTGTCCAAAGCTTTTGACAGTATACAACACGACATTCCTCTCCAAATGATACTACGTTTAGGCGTCTCTTCTGCAGTCCACGAATGGCTTAGGAGCTATTTGGCGGTTAGATCTCAATATGTCCGTATAGGAACCACCACCTCAACTACAGCTCCATTAACACACGGAATACCGCAAGGTTCAGTTCAATTCAGTGCTTTCACCGTCCCTATTTAATATTTAATATTTACACTGACAGTCTATCTTCAATCCCAGAATTCTGTAACCTCGAATCTTACGTGGACGACTCCAAAGAGTATCTATCCTTCTCACCGATTTTGAACTTCTCTTTATCAACTATAGAAGACGACTTGCATAGAGTGTTCGAATGGTACGCGCGTGTTGCAAGAACAGCTTACTGATAAATCCAGACAAAACTAAAATGATGGTAGCTAGTTGGATCACAACAATTGCTTCAACAACAGGATAACGATCATGTCCCTAGCATTAATTTGATTGGAAAAACCCTGGAAACTGTGTCGCAAGTCAAAGACTTGGGGAGAATATTTGACTCTAAATTAAAGTATAATGAACACATACAGTATTTATCATCATCATGCATGTATCTCCAAACTTTGTCAGATCAACCGGGTAAAGCATCTATTTGACCAATCAACACTAACCACCATCATAAACGCACTAGTTATGAGTAAAATCAACTACTGCTCATCAATAGTCTGGTCCCCGCAGTCTGTGTCTTTAATCCTCGAAGTCGAGAAGATTCAAAGACGTGCAACGAGACTCATCCTATCGCTGCCGTTTAGATCTGAAAGTAGTTACCAGGAGAGACTATTGAAAACAGGTTTACTTCCTCTGTCTTACTGGCACGAGTACCTGGACTAACTTGGTGTATCTCTTTAAGGCAACTAAATTGAATGACTCTCAGATTAGTATAGTATCAAACGATCGTATCACCAGGCGCGCTACAACTAACAGTGTAACATAATTAAAACTTTCCAGAGTTAACACTTTAACTTTTCAGAACAGTTTTTATAATATATAGAGCTCCCAGAATATATAACTCCCTACCACCACACATTCGAGAAGCAAGCGTTACTGTCGGCCAATTCAAATCTTACCTGTTAACTTATTATGAAGCAATGACTAAAGAAATATATAACATTAATGCTCCACAACATTTAAAAGCATATGTGTCAAGTGTCACTCGTGTCGTCCGTTGTCCAGTCTTGTGGATAAAATGTTTTGTAAATAATGTAATGTTGTTTTTTTTTTGTTTTTTATATATACATATTTACATATTATTAGGGACCTTGTAAATGGAGCATTAAGCTCTGTAGGGTTAACCTGTCATTTATGACTAAGTTTGTAAAATATATATATATATATATATATATATATATATATATATATATATATATATATATATATATATATATATATATATATAATACTCTCTATAACACTTCATTGAATCGATACAGTTCAATACCACATAGTAGACTTCACCTAGGTCATTGTGCGTTGAACTCCTGTTTATATAGTATTAATTGTTGAATTTCTCCATATTGTAAATGTATATGGGGGATAGTGGAATCAATTAAACAGTTCTTTTTCACTGTCTTCGATATGCTGCTCAACGACAATGCTTGCTTTCTTTCTTCGTCTGCACAGTTACTCCACGCTACGTGGTTACGTTTATCGGAAGATCAGATAGTTGAAAAATCTCTACATGGTTCAGAAATACTTGGTTATGAAGGAAATCAAATTTTGATGCGGAATGTTCAACTGTTTATTCTTCAAACTAAGCAATTCACTATTTCAACGGAATATTAATACGTAACAACTTATCCTTAGATTTTGAGATTTCTTTCTGAGCTTAACTACACTTCTCTTCTTTATAATTTCTTATTATGTTTGTGTAACTTTTCTTTAAACACGATGTACTCCTATGTTCTAAATAAGCCAACATGATCTCTCTCGATGAGCTTACTGTAGCTCTTGGAGAAAATGTTGAGAATAAGATATGTTTAAATGAAAAAAAAAAAAATTATCAATAAGGGTAGCTGAACGAGACGTCACACGGGTCGGTTTAGTAATGAGAGGTATAAGCATGTGTGAAAACAAGGGAATCAAGAAATTCTTGTGGAGAGTAGTGACTATCATAATAATTCAGAAGTACAAATCTAAATTAAAACCTCCCATATAACATAACAATTAATCATGTTTAAACGTTTACTAACTATTTAAAACAGTGCTTTCTTTGCAAGCAAGTTGTTTAGTGAACTTAACTATATATATACTTTAGTAAAGTAAGTCTGCTATTAAGTGCTTTGACAGTGGTATACTAGATTGTTCACTTGGCTACACTTTAATTATATTCTTTACACGAACGTATATAAGATATAATTAATAACTTTATCTTTCTTATTGGTTTTAAAAGGATATTGAATAAAGGAAATCGAAAACATTTTTCCGTGTTCCTATAGAGATATGGAAACTCTTGGTAATCATTATAGTCTCCACTTGTTATTTCGGCAGTCTGAGTCCCACGGCCGTCGGAAGTAAGTCAATATTGGGGGCTCAAGAATAAATCTGAATAAATATAAATTGCTTTCGCACTTTTCTATTTTCCTTGTGTCGTTTGCTTATACGCGGGGGAATTGGTGAGCTTTCCCGCATTCGACGGCCTTGTAGTCTTGGCAAAGTTGGGCTTCTTGGGGGAGTTGAATGGTTTACATGTTTTCTTTCCAACTGATTGTTGTTGACAACAATTGTGTTTCTTTGGACAAGGTATGGTTGAACAGGGCTCGTCGAATATCTAAGAAGATAAAAAGCATTGTATTTTACACCCAAGACCTTTTTTGTCACTGAGAGTGTCTTGCATAGGTAGAATGAGGGCTGGCCATTGAACGATTCATGTACGCACGTGCACTGACTGGAAAATCAATATTAAAGGCACTGAACTCGGATTGGAGAATTAGTTATTTTATTAACAACAACGATTATTGGGTGTGGAATTCCAAACTGTATTTACTCCGAGGATTGGGCAAAGAGCGAGCTATGCCCACATGCAGGCCGGACAGGACCAAGTTTACCGTGCATGGCATTCATATAAAGTAATACTGTTGGCTAATATCTTTCCAAAATTAACAAGAGCGAATTTAAGACGTAACGTTGCGAGACGGCAAATTGTATAGAAAAGCACATGGCAAATTTTAAAAACGTTATCATACCTGAGCATTTCGCATCTTGTACACATAGATGCAGGTATTATTGTCATGAAGCAATAAACTGTTCTCTTGTTTGTGACTTGAACACAGCTGACATTTTGCCCCTCCACAAATTTGAAACGACTGACACCGACAGTCCTCTAAACAGTGCTCCAGACAATCTGTTATGTTGCCAGTGTCGAATGTTTGCCCGATGATATAGGAGTCGTCAAACTTTTTGTTTTTCACTGCTTTTATGGTCAATTGTGGTTGACTGTTGAGCGCCAACGTGTAACACAGTGTTGCCAAAATGATCGAGACCAAACTATAGATGAGAAACTTGTATAATAGGTCATCCTCAGAGGCCGCGGAAGCATTTTGAAAGTGGAGAGGAATTGGCCAAAATGGACACTTTTGTATATGGCCAAAATCAAACGATTTTATGTCGTTCACGAGCCGAGCAAAATTTTTTGAAAATATGGAGTCTCTATAACGTTGGAAATAGCCTTTACAGCGTCTTTACTACTGCAAAAAGAGCACTTTCTTTACAGCAAAGATGGCGTTCACTCAAGAAATATTTTTTGTTCTGTAAATGGGACACTTTAGCCCAGAAAAAGGGCACTTTATTCACTTTCAAAAAGGGGGGGAACACCCTGGTCATCCTTTGACAGATACTCATTTATGAGTTGCCAGATAAATGATATCCATTAATTATAGGTCATTTGTTATTTCTATATGTTAAGTTGAAGAACTATATTCTAAACTCTTGTAAGATGCGAACCATGCACTGTAAATTCAATAGAGTCTAAAAGACCTTCCCAAAAAGTCGTTCTGCATGGGGTCAATAATATTTGCTTTTTGACACTGATGTGTCAACGGTATATGTCCGGGACAACTATTTTCTTCGTTCTGTCAGCATGCAAAATAGATATCAAGTAAAATTTATCAATTTCCTGGCAAGCCTTTGGTAGCTGCGAGGATTGAATCCCTATA